GATACGTTCCTCCGAAACGTCGGTTAACACCACTTATACACGGTGCCAAATCCCAGAAGACTGCTTTCTTCATAGTCACCGCCGTGAAAGCCTCAAATCTTACATTTAAATGGATGTTTCAGTGTGTGTATGTACTGTATATATTTTATTATTTCAGAAACATGGAACTTCAACAGGCAGTTCAGACTCTGAATCAGACGATGTCAGTGAAATGACTGTTGCAACTCAGCTTGGGAAATCCCCGAAACTGGAAACTGTAGTATGATGAACATGGACATCTGGATTTCATTTGTAGTGATAATGACTTTGTTACGCATATGTAAGCCTTGTACAATCGTTAGGCATATGGTTGAATTGCCTCAACAGTAATACATATGCATATATTTTTAAAACACAAATATGAAGGAATGATGTTCCTGTGTGTTTATTGTAGAGAGTTTTGTGGTAAAAATTTTTACTGAATATTTATGATCAGTATGGAGCATTGAAAACCAGATGCAAATTGAATGATAATAGCTGACACCACAGAGTGTCTTGCAACGATTTATTAAAGTATGAGCAAGTGCATTCATTGCGTGTGATTAAGGAAATTCTGTGAATGATAATGCTAATATTAAAGTATGTTAAAGGGGTATGTGCGAGGAACAAGCAATATTACATTATTCTAATGGAAAGTATATAGTCATCCATGTGTTAAAGCAAAATATATTTTGAAAAGCAAATCCAAATGCAGATGTAATTTGGATTTTGATATAGGCACAATTAGTCTCTAAAGTGTAACTGTCATCCCCAGATTTAGCAGGACTTAAACTTCAAATTGGAGTGATCTCACATGGGTTGTGAAAATCAACATTCCTTGAACCGTTATATGCAACACAACATTTGCAGTAGCTGTATTAGTTTCTCCTCAGATAACATGTCTGTAGAGTGGAGAGTTTCATACTAGTGCTAGTGGAGAAATGCAAGTGGTTAGTTGTGCATTTCTTCTGTATGAGATTTCACCATCACATACAGTTTATTATGTCTGCATGATCATGATATATTAACAGTTGGTGCAATATAACTACCAACATGGTGGAGAGAAACTAGGTCAGTCATTGGTTGTTAACCTGTAAAAGCCATTCCCTCATAATGTCATATTTTGTTATAATTTATTTTTTATGATTTTGTATTTTAAGGGTAAAACTTCTAAATGAAAGAGAAAGAATTTTATAATAGTGAACTTAGACTTGTTATTGATTAGTGGCTGATACTTGTAGCGCAGCACCGCATTAATTTGCTCGCCAGGATTGTATATTGAAGGTCAATTATGTCTTCATAATGCTATGAATGTGAGATTTATGATTGTAAAGACTTGTAAAACCATTACCATGACAGCCTAAACACTGTGCAATTTTTTTTAGAAGTGTATGTATAGTGTTATTTATTTTTTCAGAACATTAATAACGAAGGCATTTGGGATTAATGCACAATCACTAAATACAGTTTCTGAGAGTCATGCATTTAAATGAGTTCAGATTATTTAAATGGGATCTGACATCATTTATGTTATAGTTATTATGATAAACATGTTGATACCTGTTTTTACTATGTTGTTAGACTGTGCTAGGCAGTGAAATTGGATGACAAGTACAATTTTTACTTATATGTCCTTGGTACGAAACCCGTTTCCTATGCATGTTACTGGAAGGATGGTCATTATAGCTTTTCTTAATGACAGAATTTTGTGTATATAGATTTCTTTACAGCAGTCTTCAGTACAAGTTTCACTGTATTCATATGATATCTGAAAGTTCATACTATTCTATGTACCTGCCTTTGAAAATTTTGTGTCATTTTTGACAGAAAGGAGCAGAGTCTGACAGTTTTGTAAATAGATTAAGGGGAAAGCTCTGAAAGCAAGTAATTTCATGTATTTCTTATGATTTTTATTAGGGAGAGTGAGCATAAGGTAAAATGTATGGTTCCCTCACCTCTTCATGCTGTCTTGCTAAATGGATAGATTTTATTATTAGAATAAAATGATTGAGACGAGAGCAGTGAATTTGACTGCTGGAGCTCTCCTGTTAGACGAACATTAAAATTGGCCTACTTCATCACTTGTGAATTTTAACTGAATAATATATTAACCATATTTACCATAAAGTAATTTTAATCCTTCAAAGACTGAATTTCTCCAAAATAGTATACAATAATTCAGTTTGTACCTCACATGGAACACATCTCCACTACAATGTCAAATAGTTACTGCTGTTTAGGGAAACAATTGATATGTACTGTGAGAACTACTTGGATCACACAAATCCATACTGTGTGTAGAATGCTGTGTTCTAGTATGTTAAAGCAGGCAGTGCATATAAAACCACTGGGCTTTAGAGCGTTAATATAGTGAACTTGTACGTGTGCAAGTGGTAAGTTCAGTGTGCTCGACAGCAGATCACTTTTTCAGACCGCATACTGAATTGGGATTATATGACATTCTGGGGTTAACTGCAGTTCATTTACTGTGAAGTAGTAGATGTGATACAATGTGGAAAATTGATTTGTCCTATGGTAGTAAAGGTATAGGCATGGCCATAAGAGAACAGTTGATGGTCCATGAATCTTAACACTGGGAACAACTGAGAACATCGTGCTTTAAAACCCATTCAGAAGTTTTTCTTACAGTCTTGTCAATACAAAGCTTGTATATTTCATTACCTGTCATATGAAACAAAGAAATGTATGTTTTATGTGTAAGATGGTCTGTGTATGACAGTTAAGAGATGGTGTGATGCAGCTCCTTGTCAGTATTATACTCAGTAGTAGATGCCTTCACATTCATTAAAGAGGTGACTATCCCTGTACAAATACAAGGTCTGATCAAACAGTATTGAAACTGAGTTCATATCTTGGATAAATTGCACTGTATAGGGAGATGGCTGTGAATAATGTGTCTATACATGTTGCAGCATGTACAGGTGTTTAGTTGGTGGTTATTTGGATTATGTCACTGTGTAGTTTTGTAGGTGGTTGTAAATGTTTTGGAGGAATATTCTGCTTCCATCTTCATCTTCACCTTCACCTACTCCCTGAAGATGCAGGTATCGGATTCCTTCAAAATGGAAAGCAACTAAAATAAAAATGTCTTGTATAGTAAGTTTACTTGTTCTGATTCCTTCTTATTCTTGGTTGCCCAAAACAGCAATTATTATTTTGTTTTTAAGGTCTTTCATTCTGGTCCGTCACACTAACCAATTAACNATTATCCTATTTTACTAATGTATCCGTCATTAATACAACTTTAAAAAGATATTAGGAATATGTTGTTCACTAAAAATGCATTTTAATACTATGATAGGTAAAATCAATAATATGCCTGTAGGCTATGTTAGCATATAAATTTACACATTAAAAGTGAATGTCCACACTCCTCAAGTTGTCTCGGTTTTACGTAATTTATCGTCACAACATGTTTTGCCCTCATTGAGCCATCATCAGGTGAATTCTGTCCTCGAGTGAGACCACTCCACTGTATTTATTTCCCGTGCTTCTCTTGTGCACATCATTATTTACTTCATGCTAGTTGTTAAATTTTTTATTTTTATCCGGCTATTTTGCGGCTGTTATCAGTTTGTCAGTGTCCCCATTGTGGTCTACCAATAGAAGCACGGGAAACAAATACAGTGCAGTGGTCTCACTCGATAGAATTCACCTGATGATGGCCCAATGAGGCTGAAACATGTGAATATAAATTATGTAAAACCGAGACAACTTGAGGGTGTGGACATTCACTTTTAATGTGTAAATTTTAGTGAACATCATATTCCTAATGTCTTTTCAAAGTTGTATTATTGACGGATACGTTAGTAAAATAGGATAATGTCTCAATACAACGGGATGCTGAAATATAATACCAAAACAGCAAGATTTGACTGACTGACTGACTGACTGACTGGACTTCATGGAGATGAGCCCTTCTTGAGAAGCCCCCAGTTGTGCAGCTAGATTAGAATTTCCCAAAATTTTATGGAACACAGGTTCATTACTGTGTTCACAAGAGCGCTCCACTGGTTCCTATCCTGAGCCAGATCAGTCCAGTTCATGCCACTCCATCCTGTCTCTCTCAGATCCATTTTAATATTATACACCCACCTACATACTGGGCCTAGTAGTATCTTTCCTTCTGGGTCAGAGCAGGTCGGGATACTGTGGAGAAGAGAAATCTTGCACTGCCAGGAATCGAACCCAGCCCATCCAGCCTGTGGCCCATCGCTATACTGACTGAGATATCCTGACTCCTTAGTCAAAATCAGAGCATGACAAAATGTATTTTAATGTGTTTGGAATCCAGAAGAGTTACTTCCATGGAAACGCTACAACAGGTCGTTGCCTAGGAAGTAACAATAGCGCTACAGTAATTCTAACAGTGAGCATTGCATAGAGATGAGATTCCACGGTTACAACAAAGGCTTCTTTGCATAGCAGTGGCAGAGGTTATAAAACGGGGTTGAATGCATTCGAACAGCGGGTCTGCCAATAACCGCTGAAGAAGACAGTTTGGTATTAGCCTCCATAAAAGAAGCAAGTCTGGAATTAGTCGCCGAAGGAGTCAGTCTGGAATTAACCGCCGAGGAGGACAGTGGATAATAATTGTACTTGTGATTGTATAAGTGAAGTGTCCAATAAAGGCTCTACTGAATTTGAGACCTATGTGGATTTACTTGTTGCGGGACACACAGAAAACACGTAACAGTATATAGGACTGCATCCTCAGCATAATGTTTTCCATGATTGGTGTAATTTGAGAATCCCAGTCAAAAATCAAATTTGGGCTAGTGCACAAATTATTTTGATAAATGTTTGGTACTACATCCATTGCTTCAGAATTCAGTACCAACACATGAATTAAAGGAGGGAGTACAGTTTCTGTATAGGAGAATATCAACCAGATGGCATCTTTGTGGAACTGGGAATATTGTACAAATTTTAGTTTTGCTATTGGTCATTTTTAAATTCTAAAATAAATCATCGGTAAGTTAAAATGTTCTTCCAGAAAGAGTTTCCTTAGTTTATTGACATTGAGGTCAGTATTTGTGTTCTGTCACAGTTCTTTACATAGAACTGTGTGCCTTCTCATTACAAAAGACACCCACATGGGGTGCTGGGTTCACAATATCCAGCAATTATGCATATCCTGTTGTGGATGCACAGCAAAGCTGAAATATGTGTACCTCAATTCATTATTGGGTTCTCTCCACTCAATTGTTGTCAATATGTCTGTGTGATAACATTTTTCCCTGAGAGTTTTCAGCTTCCATCCTTCAGTTAGCACTTGGGCATAGGAGTAGTTATGAGCAACGTCTGCTTTCCTTGGACTGTCCTTGAAAAGAAATCTTTTCCAGCAAGAGCATATACAGTTCTATTTGAGACACACCTCATAAGCATTATGTTCTCTGTAAGCATCTGATTTGAACATTGTTGGGACCTTTAAATTTATTTGAAGTACAGTACTGTCAAATTGGTTCTGTGCCAGGCATTGATGCCAGTCGTCTCTTCAGATTGGGTGGACTGCAGAGCTGGTCTGGGTGATGTGGAAAAAATTCTTGACCCTACTGGGACTCGTACTTTGACCTCCGTGTCCAGCTGTAGCCAGTCGCTGTACTAACTCCACTATCTCATCTACATTTATAGGGTAGCACCTAGAAAGTTGAAATGGGGAATAATATCAAGGACTCCAATTCTGCATGCAAATCTAACAATCTTTTTTCTTTTTAATGCTAGTGGGGTGGGACTAAGTCCCTTGTACTGCGGCCACTTCTGGCCTATTGTGCCAACCCAGATGATAGGTGAGGGTGATTGTGGAGCAATTGATGGAATGAAGATTGGCAGGGGAAACCGAAGAACTCTGAGAAAACCTGACCGAGCGCCACTTTGTCCACCACAAATCCCACTTGACCAGACCCGGGATCGAACCCGGGCCGCCGCGATGGGAAGCCAGCGACTAACCGCTTGAGCTATGGCACGGCCTTTCTAACAATCTTAGCCATCACCTTCCTTCAGTGTTTTGATGCTGTTTTCTCTTCATTGATTTGCCCCCTTTTTTTTTTAAAGTTACCCATTTTATAAGGCTATCAAAAGATTTCTCTATTTCAGTCAGGTTCACAAATGCCAAAACCATGTCGTCTGTATATGTCAGCACTCCTATGTTTTCGAGGTTCTTTTTGCTTATAATGTTGGCTATCGTTAAGGTGAAAAGCAGAAAGTCCATAAGCCCCAACCTCTCCCTCGTAAAATCCCACGTGGTTGATTTATCTTATGAGTGACAGCTCGTCTCTATCCTTGTATAATTATTTCTTGGATATTAATTACTACGAGCACGACGGAGTCTGTTTCTCACAAACGGGGACCAGATACCACGGGTTACTAAAATACCTTTGCGCGAGGGCACACCAAGTAAACTGTCAACGAAAATTGAGGAAACTGCGTTGCCGTTTTTCAAATTTGCGCTCCTACATTCAGCAACATTCGTTCAACTCAGGCTGTTAACAATTCCCGGAAATTTCGGTTGCGTTGCGGTAGCCAGTTTCCTTGGTGTGCCCACGCCCTTAATGAGATATTTCGCTGTTGTCCAATTTTTAAAACTTAGCGTGTCATTGTTTTCTTAGATCATTGTTTCATTTTTGGCTTCGTGGAGTTGCTTCAGCAATTTTGTCTAGCCCCACAGTAATCCTTGTGAAAACAATACTTCGCTCTTTCGTTTCTTACGCCGCAGATGAGGTCTTTGGTGTCCCCACACCTCCTTTTCTTCTTTTTCGTGTTCGATTGCCAGTAGGTTTGTCGCTGAACACCGAGAGGACGAAGCGTGGAACCGTACTGTAGAGTGCAATGTTCTGTGTTCGTGGCAGTAATCTTTGCCATTATGGATCTGAACACGTCAGTAATGTGTCGAGTTTTTAGATTTTAGTATGTTCGATGATTTAATATTAGCGGTTAAACTGTGATACCTAATATAATGTAATACGATCTATAGTGCTTAATATACAGAGTTTCCATGAATTAGGGAATAATCTGTCTGTAGCTTCAAGGAGTAACAATGGCTAGTCCGAGAACTCGTCGAGTCCTACAAGATTTAAAACCAACTGACGATAACAGTGTAAGTAGGATTGTGCTTAGTCCTAATAGGAAATAAATAAAGGCAATAACGTTTCGTCACCTAACAGATATCAGGGCTTATTTACATTCTTTAAATCCCCACTTGAAGTAGTGGATAGTACAAATTAGTACTTGACAGTTGTCGGTATGTTATGGTTAATGACGTGAACGATATTGACACAGCTGGTTTTAATGAAAATAATGACGCCAGATTCTTGTATCCAAGGATTAATTAATTAATGTGCATTCAGGATTTTTTAATTAGATTAAGTCATAAACTCAAAAAATACAGTTGAACCTCTTTGAATTCCTGCAGCCCTTTCCACCTATGCACTCATTATTTTTTCCATTGTGTTTAACTGTTTTAAAATATAATTGTTGAAGTGCTGTTACCTCTTTGAAACTGGATTATAGTGGGCCTAAGAATTACAGATTATGAAAGATTACCGTTATAAACTAGGAGCCAGGAGGAGCCTGCTAGGGGCAAGAATTTTCTCCATGAAGTCCAGACCGGTTCCAGTTTGTATATGTCAGGTGCAAAATATCTGACCAGTTAAATGAATATGTGACTACTACATATACAGTAAACTCCATATTATGTGGCATATATGGTGAATGGAATATGACAGTTACCTGAGGAAAACTCTTAGGAACCCACTACAGAGTCAACATGTTTTTGCTTGAGTTCTGGCATGGGAGTCTTCCTAGACAACATAGTCAAGGGGAGATTATGGGCAGTGCTTCTAGTGGCAGCTGGGAAACTACTGCATGAGAGGTGTACATATGAGCATTGCAGATTTGTTTTTTAGTAACCTTATAAAAATAGTAAATTTTCTTGAAAATTTTTGCCCGTTGGATCAGAATTCCAGATGTTGTTAGCAGATAACTGGGATTTACTGTTTAACTGATTGAATGGAATAACAAAGAGACATTAAAAACACAAATTAAGAGATATTTTACTAAGGCTATACAGTGCTGTAGCTAACTGAATTTATGTGTTGGAAGCGAAATATTGACAGTGACACACGAATAACTAGGTGTTGTAGGATGTTGAGGTGCTCATATGGTGGTTATGAAGAGTTCTGTCTTCTGGGCTATAATGCCTTGTAGTCTTTTGAAAGTCAAACTTATCATTTGGAAGGACATGTCAGCTCCATCTTCAGGGTTGAAGAATAAGCCAAGCAAGAAACCAGTGTGGAAACTGGTGGCAAAGCAGAGCTTCTTTATCTCCAGTGATCATTGAGCTCTGTCATAGTCCTGCTTACTACCTGCTTCATGCTGGTTTCTTGGCTTATTTGTTGACCCTGAAGATGCAGACGATATGACCCTGTGAAATGTCAGTTGACTTTCAACAGACTACATGATGTTATATCCTACAAGATAGATCTCTTCAAGTTACGTATTTGGATTCTAAGTAACTACATACTTTCTACATAGAGCAGAGTCTTTGAGAAGCTTATAGTCATTTATCTGATCGAGGAAACCCTGGCTTGTATGGAATCTGGATGTTCATTATCATGTTCATAACACCTTGCATGTGGACTGTTCTGAACCAGTTGAATCCATAGATTTTTAGATCACTACTGAAAGTAACCATAAGATAAATTTGCCCCTGTGCTTAACTAATCAAGCACTGTGCCATGTTGTATGTGGGAATGGATGTATAGATCAATGTATTCTTGACCTCGGAACTGGTTGGAGTCAGTATAAGAGACAAGTGATTTTATGAATTCAGTAAGAAGTAGACTGTAAACTGCATGATAATGTACAAAATTATCACTGAATGAACTAAAAGTAAAGGTATTCTTGTAACAGGCCATAGAGGCCCATGGGGTTGTGAGACGTTGAGGTTCCCACATTTTCTAGACATTCATTCATTTATTCAGCATTCCATAAATCCTTACATGGTTAAACACCAATGGATATAGAAATAGTCAACATGAGTAAACATCACATACTGCATCACAGTTGTGTAATGTCATACCAGTTAAAAACATTAACAATATACAACATGAACAAAAACCATCATCTATAACAATAAAGCGCTATCAACTACCACCCGTAACAAATCCAAAACTTTAATTGTTGTCACAGTTAAAATATTCATCCAATGAATAAAATGAATTTAAAAATAGGAATCATTTAACAGCAGACTTAATTTTTTTTTAATTTAGACAGTCGGCTCATAGATGGCCGCAAGGTTGTCAGCCTTACATGCCATGCTGCCCTCGACTCCCAAGAACATTCCTGGTACTCATTTCTGTTAGAGGCTGAGTTGACCCCAGGGCCATAGCGCGGCTGGAAGGATTAGGTCAATTGAAAAATTCCAGTGACCTTATTGGAACTTGAACCCGTGACCTTCTGGCTTGTAGCACAGTACCTCAACCAACTACGCTACAGCGTGCCTTCTATCAATGAATAACTAACCAGTTAAATTCAAGAAAACATTAGAATACAAGGAGGCCTTTTCCTGAAAATGACACATTTCCAGAGGGAAAAGATACATATGAGCACTTCCAGAGGAGACAGAGAGACATTTTGATTTCTGAACTTCAGAACCAGTTTTAGCCACTTTACCAGCATGGAAGTAGAGTACTATTGTTACTTTTGTTATCCCTGACATTTTCTCTCTTGTGCATATGGAAGGCACTTGTACTAGTGGTTATTTTTTCTGATATCTGGGGACACTTCATATTTATTTAACAAATTATGGACATAACAGTTCTCTCTTCTTGATTATAATGCCATGTAGTCTGATGAAAGTCGACCAACATTTTTGAGGAACATATCACTACACAGTAGTGTAGTTCGTTGAGGCACTATGCTACAAGCCAGAAGGTTGTGGGATCGAATCACGATGAGGGGGATTTTTTTAAATTTACCTAATCCTTCCAGCCACACTATGGCCCTGGGGTTGACTCAGCCTTTAAAAGAAATGAGTACCAGAAATATTCCTGGGGGTAAAGGGCGGCTGGCGTGTAAGACTGACAACCTTACCGCCATCTGTGAGCCAACTGTCTAGAAAATGTGGGAGCCTCAACATCTCACAACCCTATGGGCCTCCACCACCTGTTACAGGGATACCTGTGAATGGCCATTCACCTGCTCTGAAGATGGAGGCGATACGTTCCTCCGAAACGTCGGCCAAAACGAAGAATACACGGCGCCAAAACCCAGAAGACACATACATGAAACATGTTTTAATTTTGGATCATGGTGTGATGCATATGCTTTTCACCTTAGTGAAGTCACATACATTAGTTATACCTCATATATGTGTGTGTAGTTCTAGGTCTTTACGAGTATTTCACTTGTAGTGATAAAACATTTTATAATGCTTTACAGAGATGCTTTGAATGCAATGCACACAATCCACAGTGGGCTTCTGTCACATATGGCATCTGGATTTGCCTTGAATGTTCTGGGAAGCATCGTGGTCTTGGTGTACACTTATCTTTTGTTAGATCCATTAGTATGGATAAGTGGAAGGATATTGAACTTGAAAAAATGAAGGTATTTATTTTTAAATCTATCACTGTTAAAAGTTTAATTGGCCACTTAATTAATCGGTTTGTTATACCAGTGACAGCTTCTGCCTTGTTGGTGGTGGAGACATATCCGCTGAATCTTTCAACTAAGATATTTAAACCATATAAGTTTTCTCTGCTAACAAAAAGAAGCTTATATTGTGTTGGTAGATGTACATGGTGTGTTCAGAAAGTATCGAACCTTTGGTCGGCAGAAATACATTTATTGATTTGGAGGTACAAAACCCTAATCCCCTTCAAAGTAGTCTCCTTGGTAATGCACACACTTTTCCCAGCGCTTCCGCCATTGTTGGAAACACTTCTGGAACGCATCTTTTGGAATGGTGATCAGCCGGGCTGTCGCATTCCGCATGATGTCTTCTCTTGACTCAAATCGGGTTCCTTTCAGCGGCATTTTCAGCTTGGGAAATAGCCAAAAGTGACACGGAGCCATGTCGGGGGAGTAGGGAGCCTGACAAACCACAGGGATGTTGTGTTTGGCGACGAAAGTCTGAATCAGATGCGCAGAATGGGCAGATGTGTTATCATGATGGAGCTGCCAAGTTTTTGCTGCCCACAGATCCGGTTGTTTGCGCCACACAGCATCATGAAGGCAATGAAGGACCTCCTGGTAGTATTCCTTTATGTTGGTTTGGCCTTGTGGTGCGTACTCATGATGCACAACCCCACGGGAGTTGAAGAAAACAGCCAACATGACCTGGACATTTCTGCAGACCTGCCGTGTTTTTTTTTGGCCTCGTGGATGTCGGATGTTTCCACTGTGATGACTGCAACTTGGTTTCCGGGTCGTACCCATAAACCCACGACTCATTGTCTGTGATCACAGTGTTCAGAAAGTTGGGGTTACTGTTTGAATTGTCCAGCATATCCTGTGCGATTTCCAGACCGTGTTGCTTCTGCTCCATTGTTAGCAGTTTCGGTACAAATTTCGCGGACACTCTCCTCATGCCCAAATCCTTGGTCAAAATTAAATGTATCAATCCAGTGCTTACTCCTATTTTGTTTGCAAGTTCTCGGACTGTGATATGATGGTCCTCCATGACCAAAGTCCATACTTGCTCAATGACATTCTCATTTCGGCTTGTTGAGGGTCTGCCTGAACGCGGTTCGTTGTCCACTGATGTGCGGCTATCTTTGAAGCGGTTGTACCTCTCCTTTATCCGTTAGTTGCTCATGGCATCATCCCCGAAAGCCTGTTGAATCTTGCAAATGGTTTCCACTTGGGTATCGCCAAGCTTTTGGCAAAATTTGATGCAATATCGCTGCTTATGTTGTTCCGTCATTTTACACCTTACTGGAATTCGACGAGCGCTCACTACACGTCCTCACTCATAGGCCGACTGCCAGCGACTGACGCTTTCTGTGGGCGGGAAAAAATTCACAACTGCGCATGAATGTCCCCTCCACATCTCCACCGAAGGGAGCCTCCCGTGCTTCATTGGTTTATGCGGGAAAAAAGAAGGTTCGATACTTTTTGAACACACCACGTATTTAATGTTGTGGATCTTCATTACACATGCATTTATATCTGTATATGTGATATATAATTTCCTCTCCAGTGATATGGGATGTATCTTTGATGTGACATGTATTTCCTGCCACAGCTGATGTACACACTGTCTGTTTTCCCTACCTTAGCTAACTGAGAAGAAAGTAACTTGGTGATTTAACAGTCACTATTTGAGAGATGTATTTAAGTTGTGTGAAGGGCAGAAAGTGGATACTGTTCACCTTCACTCTCTTAAAAGTAAGCCTTAACCACTGTTTCTTTAAATAAGTGCGCTAAGTCATGAAACTAGGGTTTATAGAATATGACTGTAGCCAACAATAATGGACAAGTACATTGTCATGTTTTTATAGTCTTTTTCTCTTCTGTCTATAATGCAACAAATTAATAGCATTAATTCACATTTAATTCATACAATGATCATTAAATGTATAAAATGTTACAATTATTAATATATATACACAACCACATAGAATGTTGTTATGCTACTACATGTGCCATGCACAGCAACACTTGATATGCTCAACATAGACACAGCACATCTAATATGATATAGAAACAGCCACAATTCAAAAAGATCAAAACGGTATGAAGGAACATCAATGACATATCTTGGGAATACTATATGATTAGCATACAGTGAATTAGAATCCTAAAATAAGTGTTGCCTGAAGATGGCCTTATAAGGCCGAAACATGTAGCAGTATAACAGCAACATATGTATATATATTGTAATATTTTAATTAATTTAATAACATTTTATACATTTAATGATCATTGTATGAATTAAATGTGAATTAATGTTATTAATTTGTTGCATTATAGATGGAAAAGAAGAAGACTAAAAGATACATCAGTGCAACAGAATGCTGAAATATAATAATATTGTTATGTGTTAGTGACTAGACACAGGGTTTGAATTGGTAACTGGATTTATTGAGCGCTCATAACTCATAACTGCAGGGGTAGCTACAATGGTTTCACAGATCTACGCACTCTACAAATTGCTGTACTGCAGCACACATAAAGTCTTCTATGTCTTCACTAGTCATGTGGTAACAGCTCACAACAGTGGGTGTTCCTCTGCTTGTGTGCTCACATCCTTGCTGGATGGCAGCCAGATCACAGCTAACTCTCAGCGACACTTCATGGCCACCTAGTCATCACTTGCTTATTCACATGGACTCTTGTTATATAGCTTTGGACAGATTGCATAGAAAACATTGTTTCCAGCAGCTCCTCGATTGTTGCATGATGTGTGTCGAGCCATTACTTAGCAGTGGACAGACAATTTTTATGTCATCACATCACAGTGTTCTTTTATTTCAAGGTTGGGGGCAATCGGAAAGCTAGGGAGTTTTTTGAATCACAACAAGACTGGGATGATACCATGACTTTACAACAGCGCTACAACACGAAAGCGGCTGCATTATATCGTGATAAGGTGAGACTAAGAATACTAATTCTTGCTCACTTTATAGTAATTTGCTCATCAATTTAGATATTTCTTGGGGGTTTCTGTTTCTTATCAAAGAAAATTCAGATTAGAAGCTTGTAGAACTTTATGATATTTACATCTTGGTCGTTTCATGTGAACTCATCACACGAGTTGAATTTCACTGAAGCTCAATAAGATTGATGGACCTGATAAATATAACATTTTACTTTGCAGTGTGAGTTAATTTAAGAGATGCAGTGTATTGAAGCCTTCCTTAAATATTCTTGAATTCTGAGTCACTTTAGCATTTTTATAAGTCTTCCTCTATTTCATTCTTGTACCAACTTAAAGCTTTTAAATGAGGCTTTCATTCAGTATGTTACATATTACTTTTTGGGTCTCCTTGAATTTTTGCCTGTACATTTGGCTTCTGATTTTAATTTACCAAAACAATGTTTCACCGATTTCTTTTGTTTCTTAGTTTGAAGTATCAGAGTGATGGAACCCACACTGCAGGATCTTATTTTGTATTCCAAGTCTTTCCCAACATGTCTTGTGATCATTTAAGTACAATTTTAGACGTTTTCATTTTGAGATATGATCCTTTTCATATATGTATAAATGCTCTGGTTTTGTACTGCATGGACATTCATCATGTCCAGACATTTTCAGAATTCTCACACAACATGCATCAGAGCTAATTTGTTATTCATTCTTTGGAAAGTATTGCAAGTTCGTTGTCAATAGGTTTGGTATGATTGATATTTTCATATCATTTATTCATATTCATATTCATATTAATACTTATATATATGTTGATCTTTCTTCAGATTGCAACTCTAGCACAAGGACTTGAATGGGATGAGGCAACTTCATTAGCACAGAATTACATTAGTGGCTCGGTGAATAGGTATAACAGTAGTTCACGCATTGAAGGAGTCAGCTATGGTAATGATGATGAATTATATCATAGCAATTCAGATTCTGGTAGCTATCAGTCAGGTGGGAGATATCAGAGTCTGGATGCACAGCAGAACTTCAGAGATGAAAAGGAAGCATTCTTCACACGCAAACAAAATGAGAATGCATTGAAACCTGAGTAAGACTTCATCTGTAATCAATTTCAGTAATGGTTGCCTATGCTTATTGTCAGTACTAACTGTGTTGTTGAAAATTTTCAAGTGTTACTACACTGCATAATTTCTAAGCTTAAATGTATCACATTTTCATGCACAGACTCTTCATAAAATTGCTGCAGCATGTTATTACCAAAGTACCATACTTGATAAATAAGATCTGAAAGTTTGTGATTATTCATTAATACAAGTATTGTGTTTCTGGACATTATGCATTGTCCTGTTTTTATATAAAATGCACAATGTTTTGGAAACTGGATGCAGTTGGGTCCAATCGACAGAGCTAGTCCCTATCTCTGGACCTAGGGAGGTAGGGGCTAGCTCTATCCATTGGGCCTAGCGGAGTAGGTTCCACCTGAAGATGGAGACAGAATCCAGTCCCCAAAACGTGTCTTAAATAAAAGTAGGTTGATGGATAATGTCCAGAAATGCAATAATTGTACTGTACTTGATGTCTGACTTGATATTACATTTGCAGTGATATTCCCCCAAACCAAGGTGGACGTTATTCTGGGTTTGGCTACACAATGGATCCACCAGCACGTAGCAGCTCCCAGGAGTTCTTTGACAGTGCAGTGTCGTCTCTTGCAAGTGTAAGTTTATCAGTGTTAAACAAACAAATTGTGTAATTTTGTGCTTAATGAACACCTTCTCAGGAGTTGAAATCAAATGCCTGCAATTTGCTATGAATTTTCAGAGTGCAGATTGATCTAAAAATCAGTATCATTCTGGCATCTATCATAAACATTAATGTTCCAGCATAATTATTTGCCATCAAACTGCAGAAAATAACAAGCAGGACTTTTAAGTGAGACTGTTCCTCTGTGGTGTTTACATGTATGATCACTTTCTTCTGGTTTAGGTAGATATGTATTGAGTATTTAAATATAAAACAAGGTAACTTATCAGATCAGGTAGCCAGATCTGAACAAAAAAATGGAACCACTGAATGCAAAAAATTTTTTTCCATTTTTGTTAAGTTGATATTTGGTTGTTTTAATTTATTTATCAGTATATCATTGTCACTAAAGTCAATGGTTGTAATGTATTTGACCTGTACATCCATTTGAAATCTGATGAGGGAACTGCCTGCTCTGACAACATCATGGTTTTCCTTCCTTCCAGGAAAATGCCATGGTCTTCAAATGTGCCTTACCTTCTTTCCATATCCCTCCCACTTGAACCTTTCATGATTGCCATCACATCTTATTTGATGTTCCATAATCTTTGCAGTTGAAACACGTCATTAAATATGACCTAAGAGTAAATCAGTGGCCATTTTAATGACAAGCAATGAAAGTCCTATGCTCCAGATTTAGTAATGATGGTAGTTGGGATAACGCAGTCAGTATATCGATGGGCTAGGGGCTTGGTGGCTTGGTGGCTGAAGAATCAGGGTTCATTTGCTGGCAGGGGCAACAGATATTTCTTTTCTCAACAGCATCTAGACTGGCTCATCCAACCTTCTATACAGTGAATTGCTGGGGGTAAAAGCAGCAAGGACAAAGCTGACCACTCATCTCCATCTAGTGCCAAGGTTAAGAATGATGCAGCTGTACCTCTGCTCCTCCATACATCTCATTTTTAATTAAATATGTCCAGGGACAGTTTTACCTCACAGATTAAGGGAGAGTAAGCATCTGAACTGTGTACAGGTAGAAGTGTATTGACTGATTTCTGTAAAATTTAAACTTGCTTGTTTTCCCCTTTTAGGGGTGGTCTGTGTTTTCGGTGTCTGCAACCAAAATAGCAAGTAAAGCAACTGAAGGAGCCATTAAAATAGGAGGGATAGCATCTCAGAAGGTAGCTGATATAAGTGTTTCTGTTGGGGAAAAGGTAAGTGCTGTGGAATGCTCTTTTAGTTTATTAAATTTTAGTTGCTTATTTAGTCAGTACTTTTGTTTGTTCCCTAGAAGTGAGATGTCTAGCATTTTGTTATTCTCCAGTCTTCTTATTGGTCTTCCAAGTAGCTACTTTTCCAAGAGTTTTCCCACCAAAATTTAGTTTGTATTTTGTGTGTATATCTGTAAATTCCTGCTTGAAGAGTAGGACATGAAATGGTTAAAAGTAATTTGTATGTTCAGAAAGACAAGATCCTGTGTTTATGAGAGAAGTAAAATGTTTGCGAAGTTGAGTAATAGTCATGGAAAAGCAGGTTGTCCGGCACAGTTTCTAACTGATTCTTTAGCAAAGATCAAATGTAAATGATGTCAGCATTAGACAATGAAGATAGAGAAATTTAAGAATTCTTACTGTATGTGGTTTGTATCGAAGACACTCCTCATTTTACTGTTACGTAGATACATTTATATATATTTATTTTCCTTTAAGATGTGTGAATATCAGCGTTCTGTTTGCTTTGTGCCTAAACTTGTGTAAATTATTCCAGTTGAAATAGAAAAAGTATGTTTTAATGTCAAAAGATAGCCTGTGCTCCTAAATGACTTGAAATGCTTATGAAATAGTGCATGCAGGACACAGTTCATGGCCAGACTATCAGGTGGTGAGTAGTTTCTTATTTTGATATTGTTTACTCTTAAATACCGGTCTAGAAAACCGAGATTAACAGCCATGGGGATCTGTTGCGCTGACCACATGACACCCTCTATCTGTAAAAAAGTTGGCGCTAACTTTGCCGACAAGCAGCGGTTGCTCGGTCAGTATAGTTTGCTTGCATACTACAGGCCACAGAGTGTTTTTTTTTTTCTGTCTTAAATAATTTTAAGTAATGTAATTTGGTTAGTTGGATTGCTGGTTACCATTTTTTTTTTTGTAAAGTTCTTGTTGCCATGTCATCCTATTGAAATTTAACATTACTGTCTTGCCATTTGTTTAGAAGAACTGAGTAAGACCTGAGAAAAATCTCATTCAGGATAGCTGGTATCTCAGGTGAGATTTAAATCATGCCTCTCCTGAATATAAGTCAGAAATATTATTGATTGAACCAACTTGTTTATTGCGGGTTCAAGTCCTGATGAGGTCATTGGATTTTTTTCAGTCGACCTAATCCTTCCAGCTACACTATGGCCCTGGGGTTCACTCAGCCTTTAACAAAAATAAGTACCAGGAATTAATTAAATAATTTTCCTGGGGAATAAAGCGCGGCTGGCGCGTAAGGCTGACAACCTTACCATCTTTGAGCCGATTGTCTAGATAATGTGGGACCCTCAACGTCTCACAACCCTATGGGCCTTCACAGTCTGTTACAGGGATACCTTTACCTTTTTACTGACTTGTTTGGTGTTTTCAGAGTTTTGGTTTGTATAAATTTATGTTAAAAATACTGAATTGTTTGTTTGTATATTTACTTAATTATGTTATGACAGCAGTAGGGTTGATTTCTTAGTATGAAAAGTGTTCTTATAGATTAAGATATGCATTTTATATGTAGATATTCACACATCTGTAAATCTCCCCCCCCCCTCAATGCATTGATTTATTTTGTCCTGCATGATTATGTTATGGCTTTGTTCTGTCAGGTGAAGGAAGGAAAGCTGCTAGAAGATGTCAGTACACAAGTCTCAAATCTTGCAACTAAGGTAATGAAATATTGCAGTGTCTCCGATTTACAAATATATGACTTACAGATGCTAGAGTTAATATCTCCATTATTGTTGTACTGTTCTTTGTTTGTCCTTCACATGGAGTTAGAAAGTAACATATCACACAATAACAGTTTATATAAAGTCATAATATATTTTAATAAGTAAATATATATGCACAAGGTCCAGTGGGGTAAAAGAAATTTCATTCAGGTGACATTTGTTATCCAAATAGGAACTGTTCATTATAAGAGAACTGTGTTACATTCATGTGTGAAGCTGAAAGAAGTCTGCCATCCAATTGTGTTCTTATTTCAGTATTTTCTTGATTCACTTATACTTTGACTTTGCACAGGACTCAACATTGTACAGAGAAATTTTAACTACAGTGTTATTCGCTCTGGATGTTGTACTGGTATGTGAACAGCGATGTCTTCTTACTTCAGTGTGTGCTGGCCATTGCATGATTTCCAGCTATTTCAGTATAACCAGCCATTGTCTGATATCTTGTTATTTCAGTACAATCAGCCATTGTTTGATGTCTTCTTATTTTAGTACAGGGTGGGGCGCAGAAACTTCCTTTTTTTGAAGGCAAATAAAAGAAAAATTATTGCTGATAGACAAGATTTATGTTTAGCTAATGGGAGAACATACTTTAAAGTTTTAAACAAAATATCTTGAAGGTGGTGGCCACCGTTCTCTATGCACTGATGCAACCGTTTTCTGAAGTTCCCCTCTGCACGTTCCAACATGTGCACCGGAATTTGGGCTACTTCCTGCCGAATAACATTCTTCAGCTGAAGCAGGTTTGTGGGGCGATGTTTAAAAACCTCTGCCTTGAGGTATCTCCATAAAAATATCACAGTGCATTAGATCAGGTGAGTGCGCTGCTCACGAGATGTCACCTCGAAGTGAGATGAGCCATCTGGGGAACTTTGCCCTCAAAACTATCATTGAAGCTCGGGCTGTGTGGACCATGGCGCCATCCTGTTGGAACCAGACATTTCCTAGATGCATTTCTTCAAGAGCAGGTTTGAAAAAGTTTTTAATCATGTCCACATACCACTGTGAATTGACAGTAACTGCATGATTGTCTTCTTCAAAAAATAAGGGCCAATAACTCCAACTCTCGACAGTGCACACCATACTGTCACCTTATCACTGTAAAGTGGCCTCTCATGGACCTCTCTGGGATTTTTACCACTCCAATAGTGCATATTCTGCTTGTTGACATATCCAGATAGATGAAAATGTGCCTCATCACTAAAGGAAACAAGTGCGTCAGGGAGTAAAGTTTCCAATAACATTTCACATGCTGTTATTCAGTTCTGGAAATCATGTGGTGACAATTCTTGCACAACCATCTTATTGGGATGGAAATTAAGATGTTCATGAAGAATTCAGCGCATTGAATGATTGGATATGTCTAGGGCGACTGCATGTTTGCGAGCGGAGTGTCTTGGAGATCTCAAAATCGACTGTCGAACTGCCACCACATTTTCTGGCATCGTAACAGTCCGTTGGCATCCTGATGATTTTTTCACCACACTCCCGGTTGTCCTAAAGTTCTCTACCCACAAAAAAATCGATTTCCGGTTGGGAACCGGACCTCTGGGCTTAATTCCAAAGTGAGTACAGAACGCACGCTGCACCGCCACGTAGTAATGGTTGTTCGAAAAATAGGCTTCGACAGCAAACGCACGCTGCTCACTCATCCACCTCATGTTTCCTACTGAGGGGTATTAGACAGAAACTTCCATGACTGCTGTGATTGCCGAGCCTATCCCCACTTTTCTGCGACCTCCCCTCCCTTCACAATGTGTCTTCACAAAAAGGAAGTTTCTGCGCCCCGCCCTGTATAATAGCCATTGTTTAATGTCTTCTTTTGGTATAATCAGGATCAGTTTCTCTATTATAGCAACTGACACATTTCTTTACAATGAGCTGTTCAGATTTTTGCAGTTAGCTCAGTTGGTGTAGCAGTGGTCTACGGGTTGGATGGACAGGGTTCGATTCCCAGCAGGGGCAAGAGATTTTTCTCTGCTCCACAGCATCCAGACTGACTCTAGGGCACACCCGGCCTCTTATCCAATGGGTATTGGGGGTTCTTTCTCTAGACCTGAAGCTAACCACTCAACTCCATCTAGTGCCAAGATCAAGAATGGTGGAGCAATACCTCCACCCCCTACATCCTCATGGCATAGTGCTTAATTAATTTTGCATAGGATAGTCATAAGAGTTGTTGGGTGAGAGCTGGAAGTAGAGGTCAGGCTCAGGAAGACAGTGTTGAATTGTATGTTTTTTGATGTTCATGTGTAAGTAATTATACATAGGTAAGTCAATAAGTAAGTTACAAATGGATGTAGAACTTAAATAAGAGTACTGATTTTAAAAATGCTTTTATTTCTCAACATAATCTCCCTGTACATTGAGGCACTTGTCCCATCGTTTCACAAGCCCCTGAAAACCAGCAGCATAAAATTCTTTGGGCTGCTGTCGGAACCAGGCAGTGACTTTCATTTCTACAGCTTCGTCGGGAAAATGTTCAGCTAGTGGTAATTGTGAACCAAAGACTCATCACCTCTGACAATTTAGGCTAGCATATCATGTCCTTCATCATGGTAGCGATTGAGATGCTGTAATGCCAGACCCATTCTTTGCATTTTGCGTTGTGGGGTCAGCATGCAAGGTACCCATCGTGCACGGACAAATGAGACACCGTGAAATTTCAAGTGGGAAGTCCAAGTGACTTCCATTTGTTCGGTCCTCTTAAACATCATCATTTGGATGAACATTTTCCCGACGATGAAGCTGTAGAAAGGGAAGTCATCACCTGGTTCTGACAGCAACCCAAAGAATATTAGGCTGCTGGTTCTCAGGGGCTTGTGAAATGATGGGACAAGAGCCTCAATGTACAGGGAGATTATGTTCAGAAATAAAAGCATTTTTCAAATCAGTACTCATATTTGTTTAAGTTCTATATCCATTTGTAACTTTGACTTACCCTCATAGTTTGAAGTTAAAATGCTGATCTGATTGACACATTGACTTTTTATTGGTATTTTGTAAAATGCAAATAAATTTAAGGAAATAACATGCTTTATATTCTTCTAGGATGCGACATCATGTAGTATGGGAGATGTTTATTGCCACTAACACTTGTCACTAACATTGAAAGTATCCAAATATCATTTGATATATGAACTTCACCTTTACATAACATAACAATATATTGTTTTTACCTAAATATTAACACTTTGTGGACCAGCAATTTAAATATTTAAATCACCCTGGGGACCAGCATTTTTAAACCTACTACCCTAACTTGTGCACTGTTCACTTTAAAAATTAATATAAAATCTCCTAATTAATTTGTTGAACTACATTTTTGGAGAACACTTACCAATGCTCCTAGAAGTGCTTGAGAGTGTGATATTTCTGGAAACATTCCCCTTTGTGAAGTGGCATTACACAGAACTAGCATATGTAGACAGTCATACTCCTTTTGTTGTGTACTGTGCAAACACGGCATCGCCTAGAAGGCTGCTTCCCATTGGCATGTTCACTCTTCACAATTTTCACAAGGGTATGTTTCTGCATATCACTCAGGAGTCACCCAGGGGGGTCAAAATGAGGCCTGGATGGGGTGGGAGTAGACGGCCCCGGTCGTACTAAGACTGTGTCTGCCGCCACCATGTGGTCTGTAGCCCAGGCTTTTGCCACATTCAGCAGAAATGCCTTGTATTTCAATTTTGAATGAGGGTTTAGATTTTTGAAAACCAAAAATGAATTGAAAATGGCACA